ACGATTGAAGTCATGCTTATTGGTACCCCCCATCAACTTTTTAAAGGATGGTACTGTACTTGAGCTTCAGTCTAAATTGAAAAACCCTGGGGTCATATTTGATTCAGGCTTAACATTCGACCCACACGTGCAACATAAAAATCTTCGTTAAAACATTTATTTTCACCTCAGAGACATCGCTAGACTCTGCCCTATGTTATCACTAACTGTGGCTAAAAAGCTGATCAACACTTTTGTCTTCTCCCTAGTTGACTACTGTAATACTCTACTCACTGGGGTATCTAAATCCACATTGAACAAACTCCAATATGTCCACAATTTGGCAGCCAAAATCTTGACCAGGTCTAGTGCAAGTGATCACATAACTCCTATCCTGGAGTCCTTGCACTGGCTTCCTGTCATGTTTCGTGTCAACTTCAAAATCCTCACTGTCACCTATAAGGCTCTACATGGCTTGACACCTCAGTACCTGTCTTGTCTATAATCGCCCTACTCCCCATCTCGCAACCTTTGCTCCTTTAATTCTGGTCTCCTAACTGTCCCCCAAGCCCATCTACACTCTATGGGTAACAGGGCTTTCTCCTGTTACACCCTTAAGCTCTGGAACTCTCTCCCCAAGGATATCAGAGACTCACCTTCTCTAAACTCGTTCCTAATCAGACTCCAAACCTTCTTCTGTAGAAGAGCCTTAACTTAACTGGTTCCATTCTTTACCCCTCTGCTCTTACTGTTTTAGTAGCACCATCTACTGTCTCCTCTGTGCATTCTCATCGTGTTTATCTTGTGTATTTTTATTGTTTATTTTTAATTTTTGTTGTTGCTGTTGTCATTCTGTAAAGGGCTTTGAGACGCCACCTTTAAAGGTGCTATATAAAATAAAGTTTATTATTATTATTATTATTATTATTATTATTATTATTATTATTATTATTATTATTATATTAGCCGTAGTAGTAGTATATGAAGTAATCACATGAGCACACCAGTGCCTCTACTTCCTTAGGAAACTCAGGAGATTTGGTATGTTTTCACAAACACCAATTTCTCAAATGCACTATAGAAAATTGTCTCACTGGATGTATTACAGTTTGGTATGGCAATTACTCAGGTCATGAACATAAAAGTTCATGACCTACAGAAGGTGGTGGAGACAGCTGAGGCCATTACTGGTACAGAACTGCTTTCCATTCAAACCACCTTCACCACTTGCTGCTTCAGAATGGCAAATAAGATAATCGTAGACCAAAACCACCCTGGGAATGCATTGTTCTCTCTTCTTCCTTCTGGCAGAAGATTTAGGAGTATGAAAGCCTGGTACTATAGGTTCAAAGAAAGCTTCTACCCCACAGAGATAAGACTCCTAAACTCCACTTCTTAGATCCTCTCCAGCTTACACCCTCTGTTTTTGCACTGAACTAAAAATACTGCCACTGTTTGAATTTTGCACACAGCTGCTATTTAAATGCTGGTTAAAATTATAGCTGCTACATGGTCCTGTCTCCAAGAATTGTGATGCCATCTGCATAATGTTTTCTATGTCACTGTTATGTCATTTTTACTGTCATCTGTTATGTTATGTCATTTGTCAAGTGAGGAAAAGACACAAGTTAGCATTTCATTGTAAATAGATAAGACTTTATTGATCCCGTAGGGAAATTGATGATTATTGTCAGGTACACATGACAATAAATTTGAAAATGAAATTTGTTTGGACAATGAACTCTGATTATAAACACATACAGTAATACAGTAGCAAAACCTTATACTATGACATATACTGTCCAATTTTCAATGTTTTTTTTTAAATTAAAGTGACTATTAAATCAGTATTTCAGGTATTACTACTCTACAATCATAATACAGTATTTATACAACAGAATCGTTTTTCTCAGTATATATTAGCACATGTATTGTTGAAAATGATCAGGCTGAATGGTTTTATCTTCACCTGCCACTGGTAAGGGAGATGAAGAGACAGGATTGAAAAATAAGAAATTTGTGCTGAATAATTTCACCGGTACTTTCAGTCATATTTCAGAAAGGAAAACTT